GCCAAGGAGCTAGCCTCAGCCTTCTCATGTGCTCATGGCCATGCTGGATGAGACGGTGTCCCTGCTGGTGGCTGGCGGAGCAGCACCCTTCCTCCTCCTGTGGGAAGGGAGAGGCACCCACATGCCCGTCGGAGAGTCAGCACGTCACATCCTACAGTTCAGCAGTGTCTTCCCTGGACTCCTGCTTCTCTTTTGCCACCTCCAACATGCTCCTCTGTGGAGCTTGTTGAGGACTTGCCTGATCACCGTGCAGATCACAGGTCCCACCGGCCTCCCCTGCACTTTTCTAGCTTCTGTTCTTATTTTCTTCTCTGCCACAGTCAGGATGGTCTTGTCATGTCCATCGGTGATGGCCACCACCTTCAAGTGTGGAGGATTCTCCAAGATTCACGATGCCCTTGGCCAGCCCCGTCTCCCTGGGCAGCCCCACCTGGGTCTGTGCCGGGTGCATCTATCTGTTCCCCTCCCCTCCCAGCTCCCTGGTGTTCTGACCACACATGATTCCTTTACTCTTGCCTCTTTCCTCTCTACCTTGGTGGTGGTGTCTTCTTCCTACTGTGTTCGCCCCCTCTGTTCAGACTGCTGGTCAACCTCGAAGCTTCGGGCCTTCTCTAGAAAGCCTCCCCAGGCCCTGGAATTGGCCACTTCCTCCTCTGCCTCCTCTCTCCTCTGCTGAATATTTATCAGTCATAGGACCTTAACTGTATGGTACTTGTTTGTTTACCTTTGTCTTTCAACTACATGGCGAGCTCCTTAGGGGATAGGATCATGTTTTATTCATTTTTTTAATTCCTAGCTTGTAAAATGGAGCTAGGCATGCACTCTTATGTCCTCAGTCAAAGGGAGGGAAGGGGGCTTGTATGAATGAATGTGAGTGTGCTTTTAAACTGTAAATCGATATAGAAAAGTCAGTTATTGTAGTGTCAATGGCATCCCACTACAATACATGGCATCTGTAAGGTGGGTTTTGGTTTTTGTTTTATTTTTGGTGTATGTTTATTTATTTTTAATAATTTTTTTAATCATTATCATTTTAATTTATATTTCACATCGTTCATTTTTTTTACAATATATGCTTTCTCATCTCGGTTATAGTCCCCATGAAATTCCCACCACCAATTCACGCGTGTACCATCACCATAGTCCCTGGCGCTCTTCCCACCCATTTGGATCCTATTCCCTTCTGCCCCCCTGCAGAATATCTCTGGTTTATAGTTGCTTACTGATTTTGATTTTCACTTTGTTATAATAACTTTGTTTCTGATCCCTTATTTGTATCCTTATTTGTATTCCTCTTATAAGTGAAGCCATCCAGTATTTTTCTTTTTCTTTCTGGCTTATTTCACTGAGCATGATCCCTTCCAGCTCCATCCATGTTGCTGCAAATGGCATGAGTTTATCTTTTTTGAATGCTGAGTAATATTCCATTGTGTATATGTACCACATCTTCTTGATCCAGTCATCTATTGTGGGGCATTTGGGTTGTTGGAAGGTAGGTTTTTGGATGAAACAGATGGCCACTCTCTTGAAAAGGTGGAGGAGTCGGAGAAACAAAAACGGTGCTTCCTCCAAAACAAAGACTAAAGAATCTTACCTCAGTGTTATATCAAAGAGCTTGGAGTTTTGGACATGCTAACAACAAACATTAGACCAAAGAATAAACCATAAAACCACAAATCAGAATTTTGAATGTGAGAAGCAGAAACTCCTGTGTTGTTTCTCCCATGGGGCTGTTTTGGGAAAGAAAAGTGAAGAGAACACTTTGATATAGTTTATAATTCTAAATACATTTTTTTATGGTTCATCTTCACTATCATGTTAAATAGATTATAATTTTGAAACAGTTCAGAAATTTTTATGGAGGAAGAAGGGAGATGAGGCAGGAGGTATTCATTTCTCTCAGGGCATCTTAGAGAAATAAGGCAAACTACTGAGGACATTGAATTTGAATCTGATTTTGAATTCTGTTTCTACCACATCTTTGCTGGATGGTTCTCTAGACAAGGGCTTCTCTAGCCTTCTAGGGTGAGGAACAAGACACACACACACACACACACACACACACACAGAGAAAGAGAGAGAGAGAGCACGCACCCAGTGAGTCACACACTGACACTTTTGTAAAATATAATCAAAACTAAATTACTAGTAAAACAGAAGAAATCATGCAAAATACAACCCCAAATTTATCATTACATGTAACAGATATTCTGTTAAAATTTCAACACATTTACTCTCAGTTTCCACACTTGCTGCAGGTCAGTAAGCAATTTGCAAACTGGCTCCTGTTCATTTCTAGAGTTAGGCTTTGGATATTTTCAATAACAGACATTACAGGAATGGAAAAGCTAGTGGGAGCAAGGGCACTCATATGCAAATCTTATAACAGGGGAGACCATGAGGCCATAATGGATTAGAAAGTAAATACATTAGATGAAATTCAGATGGTGAAAAGCTCTTTTATCTGTGAATCTCCTCAGCCTTCTCTCCCCAAAATAAAGTGAATTCTTTCATCCTCTTAGAGAATAATTGTCTTCAAGGCAGAGGCTTAAAATTGATCCTTCATTGCGAACAGTAGGGAAACCATGGATGCTGACGTCAGGCCAATAAAATTAATAAGCAGCATGACCAGCTTTAATAAATTTCATTGGTGCTTTACTCTGTCATTTGAGCACAGAATGAACTGTTATTACCACTGAGCTGCAAACCTCTCATTTTGGCTTCAGACGACCACAGCTGCTAATGCAGGGCATGCTACGATAGTTTTCAGTAACTGGTGTAGGGTCAAAGTATCATATTTAAAAGACTTAATTATGATCAGTGGGGGAACAAGTTGTGGCCATACAACTTTGATCTGCTCTTGAGAGTGGCCTTCAAAAAGTTGGACTCGTAACGATCTATTTTCTCAACAATTTCCGAAAACAAGCGGCTTTTAAAATCTAGTTTCTCTACCATGAGCTCTGAGGTTTTGAACTGCTTTCAGTTGGAGATGGGCCACCCTTTGTTGGACGGGGGCCAGGGTTCTTTGTCTCTCACCCCAGCTGAAATTCTTCAAGCCCCTTAACTCAATCTTTCCCTCATGAAGAATCTAGTATCGGGTTTCTGCAAATGAGCGCGCTTTGCACTTGAAGTGAGAAAAAAGATTGTTTTCTTGTTAAATGCGTCCCACCCTTCATCAGGCTATCTGTGTGAACTAGGCCTGTCCGTGTCCTTCTGTTTTACTTTTTAATTTCATACTATCCAGATCTTTCTGGCCTTCTATCCTTCTTAATTTTGAAGACATTGTGTCCTTTTAAAGCAGAGTATGCAATGACTGGCAGCTATAAACCCTTAATGCAGTTTAAATATCACCACATTCTTTTGCACCATGTGGAATTTCATGAAAACATCAAGGACTCATTTATTTTTTCGAGGAACTGTAGGTTTGGTTTTAGTGTTGTTCAGTGTGCTATGACATCCACCCAAGCCGTTAGCATTTCTTGCCTGGCCACTCCAGATCCTATGCAGACTCTTGAGCCCCTATGATTGTTCCATTCATAAAACAAAGGAGACGAGGTCTTACATTGTGGGGTTTAATGGCAACTACGCTTCAGCCATGTGAAGCTGATTTCTTAAGGGATGGCCATTTTCTTGAGAAGATGTTACCACAACGACTGTAAAAAGAAAAAAAAAGTTTATGAACATCAGGTCCTGCATGACAATGAGTTTATTATTAAAGAGCTAGAATGGTGAGTTGTTTGATGCTGCCCCAGAAAGTTAACAATGAAGCCCTGCCCGTCTTACCTGAGCATCCTACAGAGCAGGAGTGCAAAGGCGGATTATTAAAAGATAAACAATTATCTACGACTCTTGAATTTCTGTTTTGCTGTCTGTGAGTCGTGTCTGAAATCTCCTGTGTTCCCAATGGGTCGCTGGGATGCAGTCCAGGGCTGGGACTTCCACGGCCCAGCAGCCTCTGCGCGGGGCTGCTTCCTTCAAAGGCTGCAGAAGGCTGCTTGGGCCAGAGCCACAGTACATTGTTCTGCCCAGGGCAGGGGATTGTATTTATTTTTTTATTTTACGTTATTTCAGCTGTTTTCACTTTTTTCTTTATTGTTTGCTTGCCTCCTACAGAGTGCTTTTTGCGAGCATTGCAGGGAGAGAGGGGAACACTGAGTTATGAACTCTAGCACTCGGGACGGAAAGCTCTTTTCCCCTCTCTCAGCAGTTCAAATAGCTTCTAAGTCACGTACGTTTAACCCACTGTGGGTCTGAGCCCGCATCAGCTCTGTTTACAAACTGGCTCTGTGTTAAACCGTGTAAAATCCTTGCAGATTTTTCTGTGGCTTGTTAACATAGCCTGCTGGTAGCGTGAAGTGAATTGTGTGCTTATTTTTTTTTTTAAGGTTTTCTTTCTAAATTGGTATTTAAGGGAGAATTTAGTTCTGCACTTTAACAATTGATAGCTTTATGTTTAAAACAACTCTGTTACTTTCTGCCCACTTATATTGAGATATGATTTGCATGTAACATACTTGTTTAAGGTAGAAAGCATAATGATTTGATACATACATATACTGCAAAATGATTACCACAGTAAGTAAATGTTCATCACCTCACACAGTTACAGTTCCTTTTCTGTTGAGAAATGTCGTGAGTTTTATTTTTCTGGTGCCCCACTTTGAATTTGGGAGTATCTTTTATCACATGAATTAGTCAAGGAAACTCCAGTTGGACTTGTTATGCAAAACTCTGACATTTTCCACAGCTGTAGTCATTATATTATCCATCTAAGGAAGCTCTAAAATATTAAATAAATCAGTGTACACCATCCTCTTTTCCCCTTGCTATAAAAGGCATTATCAAAACAAATAAAAGATTGTATTCTCATAGTAGAGCTAGCGAGCATGTTAGTATGGTAAATAATGACTTGAACTTGATATTAAAGACACATCTTACGTCACTGAAGATGTCTCAGAGAATCACAGGGATACTTAAGACCTCTTCTCATGATTTCGCAGGATTATCTTGACTGCATACGGGACCAAGCAAAACTTCCTCTGGGGACGGAAGAAAGTTCAGCCCTTTTTGGAAACATAGAGGATATCTACCACTTCAATAGGTAAGTTAACACTCGCAAGATTATTCTCATGGGAGAACATTACAAATGTCTCTGAAATGAATGCAGCCTAAGAAAACATTCCCCACAATCCTTGATTCAACTTACAGATTTTTGTGGGCTACCATGCCAGGAACTCTTCCACCCAGCAGCATATTTGCTTTTATATGAGTCTTACATTTTTTCTATATTCCATTGCATCTACCCTCCAGGCTCAAAGACAAGAGCTCTTCCCTGGACAGAGCAATCACATCTTCCTTCCACAACCCAACATGAACAGCACCTTCTAGAAGTACATGTTTACTTAGTGCAGTCCAGCCTCACTGCCACTGATTTTTTCTTCAAATGTTCTGCCTAGAGAATGGGCAAGGCACAGTATAAATCAATAAATACTTTGTCATAATATATATTTATTCAAATTAATTAAAAGTATTGATTTAACTCCAACATGTATTAAGTACCTACTATGTAGCAGGCACTGGGCTCAAAAATTACCGTAATGAACAGAGCAAACAGGGATCAGGATTGGATCAAGTAAATCAACTTTTATAATGTGAAGCCTCTGGGAAGACAAGGTAATGGGCAGGTGAAAGAACAGGTTGTTTTCCTAATATCACCGTTAACAGCACAGATTTCTGGGCTCATATCACAGTTGAGCCGTATATATATTGTAGGGTTAGTCCTTAAATGATGTGGAATAACCACTCCTTACTTTAAATCTGCTCTCAGATCCTCCTTGCTCAGTGAAACTTGGCATTTTGCAATTTCTAACAGACGATATGATTGACTTTGGGATAATGTTTGTGGTTTCCTTCCTCCTCATACCTATTCACACACCTCATGGGGAAGATCTGTCTGTTTTGTTACTATTCTAACATGCATTCAGACTTTTTTGTGGACTGAATGAATGGAAACAATAGGGACATCGACTTCAAGGTTATTGTGTCAAGGTTATTGTGAATCTCAGTGAGCTGATGCACAAAGTTCCTAGCTCACTGCCAGCACAGTGTCAGCACCAAAATAATATCCAATGATCGGTCATTTTGCTACAGTAAAATCCCTATATAAAATTCTACAATGCCCTATCAATGGGGTACTCAACTATAATGCAAATTATAAATCCTGCCCCTCTTTGCTTGCTGAAAATGGTATAGGTGAGCTCCGCAGAAACAGGATCCACATCTCACTCGTCACCTTTGAATCCCTAACACCTAGCAGGAGCCTGACCACTGGGAGGCATGTTTGCTGAATTGCATCAGCACATGCTTTAATTTTGAAAGCCTGGCATGTAAGAAATGTCAGTGCTGCAAGGTCTCTGTCGTTTAACTCTGTAGACTTTGTGAACACCAGTTGGGATGTTCCAAGATAGTGGTTCTCAACCAGGCTGTCAGTTGAAATAACCACTGCAGTGAAGTGAATTTAAGATTAATACCAGACACGTTTGTTGAAGAAGGTGTTCAGTGCCAAATGACAGACCTTGACCCAGGAGACTTGTCAGGTTTCTCTGAGTGACTGGTCCACGCTCAGGGGTTTGGTCTTAATTTTATAGGTAAATCACGTGCACAGAAAGAATACATAATTGTTCCTTTACAAAGAAAAGCCTTGCTTCCCAGTTAATTTCTAACATTTTCAGTTAACTAAAGGAGGTGGGTTTCTAGCATTCTTGGTTAATTGACAAAGGAGAAGCATGATTCACAACACCAAAGCAGTCCCTTAATTTTACAAAGTCAACAGTCAGAGCTGTTTGCATATGGGAAGAAGTAAGGACAAAGGTTTCTTATTCTTTTTTTTTTTTTTAATAATAAATTTTATTTTTATATTCCCCCATACAATTGCAAACGCCCCATTCTGACCCCAATCCTTCCCCTCCCGCCCCCCACCCCCAAAAAAGTGTCTCTGGTTCATAGTTTTTTGTTGATTTTGATTTTCACTTTCTTATATTCATTTTCTTGGTCCCTTATTTAGGTTTTCTAGATTCCTGCTATGAGTGAGACCATCCGGTATTTTTCTTTTTCATTTTGGCTTATTTCGCTGAGCATGATCCCTTCCAGCGCCATCCATGTTGCTGCAAATTGCATGTGTTTATCTTTTTTGAATGCTGAGTAATATTCCATGGTATATATGTACCACATCTTCTTGATCCAGTCATCTATTTTTGGGCATTTGGGTTGTTTCCAAAGCTTAGCTATTGTAAACAGTGCTGCTATAAACATAGGGGTGCAGGTGCTCTTTGGAATTGATGTTTCTGTGTCCTTTGGGTAAATACCTAGGAGTGGAATTGCTGGATCCTATGGAAGCTCTATGTTTAGTAGGTCCAGAAATCTCCACACAGCTCTCCATAGTGGTTGGACCAGTTTGCACTCCCACCAACAGTGCAGAAGAGTTCCAAAGGTTTCTTATTCTATACAACACCCTATGGATGTGAAGCTGCACCCAGGTCCTTATCTCGTGCTGTTTCTTCCAGCAACATCTAAGCACCACAGGGGTGATCTTGCTGAACCTTTCCAGATTATTTTTTGGTTTTTTGTAGTTGTTTTTTTTTTTGCTTCTTGCCTGCAAATAGCAACCATTGTGTTTGCCACCAGTCTCTGAAGAGGCTGTGCAGTGTTGTCAGCGAGGAGACATTTCCAGCAGAAAGTAGAATTCTTCTCTTAATTTTTTTCAGTCCACCTGGAAAGCTCTTTTTTAAAAAAATAGCCCCACAAATTCTAGTCATTTGGCCTGTGGTGGGGCAGGACATCAGAATTTTTCAAAAGGTCCTTAGATATTTGTAATGTGTGGCCAAGGTTAAGAAATATTCTCTACAGGAAACAAACACAGAAAGACAATAGAGACAGGGCATAGAAAACTGAACCAGGACTGGAGAATCCATATGCTTGTTAGTAGAGTCTACCTGTTCACTATTGATGTGTTAAAGCAGACCGCCTTTTGGTAGTTGCTGATGGTAAAATCCTCTGAACTTTTTAGTAGCTTCCCCTTTTAGTGTTTTCCCACTAATGGCACTGGAATTCTAGAAATGGGGAGGCCAAATGATGGGAAGCCCTTGACCTAAGCCTTCTGGTGGTTTGGCTGTAAGTTGATGGTAATGACTGTTTATCTAGTGTTTGCTTCGTGCCAGAAGCCATAGAGTTTTATGTGCTGTATCTCTTTATATGCCTCATCCTGGCTTCTCTGACTCCAGCCCCAGCCATCAGCCACACTCCCTCCTGTGTTCCTGTGATCCTGGGGCATACTCCACAGGGGGGGTTTGCTCCCTGGACTTTACAGCTTCATGTTTCTCCTAATTTAAAGAAAGATAAGGCTGGAAGCCCTTTGACTCAATAAGAAGGGATCTCGGCTGTACAGTCTGCAAAAGTGAGTAGGCTGAGAAGAGCTTTACGTTCTTGCATAAGCTCTCTGCTCTTTTTGTTGAACAAGGAAGTCAGACATGTCTAAGACAAACCTGAGTCGAAGTAAATGAGCACCCTAAAGATGACACGTCAGACATCGGCAGTGACACAACTCCACACAACCGTGTTCGTGCCTGTCCCTTTTGTAATCACATTTATATGCACAAGCATCATCTTACTTAATTCTCTTACCAGCTCTCCTGGGGACACAGGATGCACATTGTATATACTTCTTATTGACAAGAAATCAATTGGAGAGTAGAGGAAGTCCTCTGCTCAAGGACAAAGATGTGAAATTAAATTTAGCCTAATGTGAATACGTGATTTATCAAATCTCTCTTGGTATTGGTATTTTCTAATTTTATTAATATTATTAGTATCATCATCATTATTTTAAAAAATATTTTCTTGTTTAATTTTTACAGTTGAATTGTCTGTACTGTTTTGTCCCTATTCATTATTTCCTTTCTCTTAAAATGGGAGCCTAAATTTAGAGCTTCCACATTTCTTTGTTACAATGTATTTGGTTAAATGAGAGTACTGATGTGACTTTTTATGATAATGCCTCTTATGAATCCTTTGTTATCTACCCTATATCAATTGATTTCAAAGATATGACTATCTGGCAGATGTATGGTTGGTGCTTGAAATAAAATCTTTAAAGTTTCTATTATTAGTTAAGGTCCAGGTTTTCAACATAATAATATTACTTTGACCAACTAACCAAGATTTAAATCTCTAAAATTAAAGAGGGCAGAAAGGAAATGGTTTATACTGAACTGAAAAATTCAGCTGACTGGATTCTTTTTTCAGGAAATATTTCTAAAATACAGAAAAGCATAAAGTAATATGATAAATGTCCATAAACCACCCCCACTCTGTCAAAGCCTTTCCTTGTGCCATATTTGCTTTAGAAATTCCCTGAAGCATAAGGAGATTACATGTAATTGGAAGAGTACATGTAACTTCTCTATCCCCTCAAATTGAATTCCACCCTGTAGAGAAACATATGCTGGTAAACCAGTTGTCCAAAGGTGAGAAAAATGGAGAGGAAATTGGAATTTATAATGTTTGCCAATTTTAATGGCATAAACACTTCCTCAACAGCAGATTTCAAGCTGGAACTTGGAAGAGATGTGCATAGTATGTCAGTATAATCTGGCCCACTCTACCACAAAAACTCTAACTACTATCCAAGATCTTTGTTGACATTATCATATATGTGGACGTATTTAAAATAGGTAACATGGTCATGGCGCAAATTGTGTCAGCCTTTTATAAATTTTTCACTCAACACTGTTTTGAGATGCGTAGTTCTATGTCACTTGTTTTAACTGTGATATAATATTCCATTGAGGTTATTACTGTTTTGTGGAATGATGGTGCAGTAAGACTGGGCAGCTCTCTTGTGGTTTATCACTTAGATTTCTCCTGTGGATTTCTGCCTCATACTCACTGCCCATTTTTTAATCAGGGTATTTCTTATTTTTTTTTAAAGATTTATTTATTTATTTATACAAGTGCTGGGTACAGTCAGAAGTGCGGGAGGGTGAGAGAATTCACCAGAGCCAGAGCGGGGAGCAGAGCAGGCAGAAGGATCGAAGTACACTGCTG